TCAGGTGTGAATCACAGCATTATGCATGACCATTCATTCACCCTCGCATATACCTTTTCTACACAAAAAGTGCCTTAGAAAATTTAAATCAATATATTGTTTTCTGTGAATGAGTGAGTAAGATGATTTTCACATAATTTTGAAGCAAAAAATCTAGACTTCAAGATCTGTTCTCAAAAGTCTTGTGATCAAATGTTCCTGTATGTGTTTTATGGCCTTATTTCAGTGACTTTAAAATTGTAGTTTTTCACTAAGCACGCATAAACGTTGTTTTCTCAAAAACACAATCACGTAAATACATGCTGCTCACATATTATTGTAGCCCAGTTTGTGCTGATTACAGTGTTATTAACTTTGCACATTTAAATGTTTGTAAGCAACTGAAAAAAGCACAAATGTCAGGGCATGTCAAAACTTTTCCAGGCCCCAAAACACCCTCGGACCCCAGAGGGTTAATAATTATCTTGCAAAATAATTAATCAAGTATTTGAAACTCAAACCTCAGTATCTCCAACTTAGAGTTTGGACTCTTCAGACCTTCAGAAAGCAGCTTCACTCCTGAATCTTGCAGGTCATTGTTACTCAGGTCCAGCACATTTAGATGGGAATTTGAGGATTGTAGAGCTGAAGACAAACTCTCACATGACTGAGCAGTGAGATTACATCCACATAGCCTGTGTAAACAAAACAAACAGCTATTTTAATGTGAATTTATGAGTTCATATAGTTTAAAATCCGCAGTGCATGTTTGTGATAAATAAAGTATAATTAGTGTAAGAGCCATAATTTAAATAATTAAGTTTAATATTAAAGTTAGAAGTGCATGAGTAGGTATAATTTTAATGTGTTTGGATTTATATGTATATTCGTTAAACACCCCCCATGTTTATTCTGTAATGGTTTGCTCCGTTTTATTATTGGACTGTCTTTAAGTGCCTTTTTGGTGACCCTTTAAGGAAGAAAGAAAGGAAGAAAGAAAGACGGAGCTACACAGTTTTTTGACCGGTGTTTATTTTGTTTCTGTTTATTGAGCAAGAACATCCAGTAAACAATTAAAATTGAAACGAAACCCGAGTCAATTCTTTGCCTGAGAGAACAAGAAGAAAATGTATTGCTACTACAAAAGTCAAAAAATTGCTCATGAAGATAGCTGAGGGCGGCTCGCGGCAAACGCTGCTTGGATTCATTGAAGGACGTTTCACGAATCTCAGCGAACATTAGAAGGACGGTACAAAAGGACTAAAGGTAATGTGATGGAAGTCTTTTCACAAGTGGAGTTTGTGAATATTTAGAAGACTACAAATAATTGCAGCAGCTTAATTTAACCTCGATGGTTTGCGTGAAGATCTGCTTTCTAATTAAGTAGAATGGCGGATGATTCTGTGCATGCGAATGTACCGGGTAATGGCCACAAGAGGGCGCCAAAGCCTACTGCAAAGGCAGCTGAAGAGAAAATGAATCGACTTACGAACGAGAGACAAGGGAAACAGGCACAGTTAACACGCAAAACGAAGGAAATTGACATATTAATGCAAGACAAAGAAGATGTGAAAACTGTTGAAAAGGAACTGAATGTCTTTTGCCAGATCTTATGTCAGTTTGAAGAGTTGAAAACTGTTGAAAAGGAACTGAATGTCTTTTGCCAGATCTTATGTCAGTTTGAAGAGTTGAATGCTGAAATGTTACTCAAGATTGAAAATTTTCGGCCGTTTACGTTTGATGTGAAAAAATGGATTTCAACCACAAATAAAGGAAGCGAGTCTGATAAGCTTGAACCTCAAGATGAAGATGACGATGGTGTTAAACCAAGTGACAGTGTGTCAGAAGTTATGGCTCCTCATGATAGAAGGAAAAGTGGATCTGTGACAAGTAGTTCTGTGGCATCTTCAACCAGTTCTGCTCGTGTCAAGGCAGAGGCTAAGCGTGCAGCACTTCTAGCCCAGGTATCTGCTTTAAGAAAGAGGCAAGAATTAGAGGCTCAAGAGTTGAGATTGAAGGCCAAAAGAGTACAGCTTGAACTGGATACAGAAATTGCTGCATCAAATGCTGAACTCAAAGTGTTAAAGGAGTACGAAGAAGGTCAAGATGGCATGAATGATTATTACAGGTCACAGAGTGGGTCACAATCGGTTGATTCATTCAAAAGCCGAAAGGAACGTCAAGTTCAGCCAGTATCTAACCCGTGTATAAAGTCGGAGCCTATGTCAAGCACCCAGGATTGCAGCTCTATCCAGAGACCATCTCAACAAACCACAGATTATGGTAGTACTCAACAGTCAACTGATGATGACAGATATCTGTTCAAAGTGATGCAACGGCAAAATGAGATAACGGAATTGTTTATAAAGCAGCAGAACTGATCCCAGTTACCTCAAAGAGATGTACCAATATTCTCTGGAGATCCTCTTGCCTATATTTCTTTCATAAGGGCATTCAAGCACTCGATTGAGAACAAGACTAATAATCCACAAGACAGGTTATACTATCTTGAACAGTTCACAAATGGTGAACCACAAGCTCTTGTTCGCAGCTGTGGACATATGAGTCCTGCTAAGGGATATAAAGAAGCTAAATGTCTCCTTCAGCAGCATTATGGCAATGAGCTGAAGATCGCTACAGCTTACCTCGAGAAAGCTCTAAAATGGCCACAAATCAAAGCAGAGGACAGTAAGGGAATGAAGACCTATGCCTTATTCCTTATTGGATGTAGAAATATCATAGCTGATGTTGAATTCATGGATGAGATGAACAATCCAACAAACATGAGAACAGTCATTCCAAAACTTCCTTTCAGATTCAGAGAACGTTGGAGAAACACAGCCTTTGATATCCAGCAACGAAATGGAAGAGCCACATTTGAAGATTTGGTCAACTTTATCGACTTTAATGCTCAAATTTGGAATGACCCGCTCTTTTGAGATATCCAGGATGTTAAAGTAGAGAGAAAGGGAAAATCCAGTTTGCCAGAGGTGAAGAACTCGAAGAAGAGTGGTTTTCAAAGGTAGTATTTTTGCAACAAATGTTTCACCGGCTGGCAAGGACAAGGCAGAATACTCACTACAAAAGAAACCGAACACCGAAAAATCGGATTCTGGAGTCCAAAAGGCTTGTTTGTTCTGTAACAAGGAACACAAACTGGATTCCTGTATTAAGCTCAAGCAGCAGGAATACAAGGACAGAATTCGGTTTCTTAAAAGTAAAGGTCTGTGCTTTGGCTGTCTAACACAAGGACACATGAGTAAAGATTGTAAAAAGAAAATATCATGTCCAGATTGCTCACAAAAACATCCAGATGTCCTACATATAGTCAAACATGAAGATAACCGAGATCAAAAGTCTGATGACCACGACTTAGCAGTTTCAAATGCTCTTCTTTCACTGGGTCAGGAAACTTGTGGATATACTGGGGCTGGGGATGG